ACATCATATCATGTTATGCTTCACATACTACGCACACAGAGTGGAGTTCCTTACTAAGCCATAAACCATAAAAGTTTCCCCCAGAACAGTCATGAGACAGTTTTCTAAAACTTGGAGCTTGTCCTCTAAAGTCGAGGTCTCTTTAGATGGAAGAGAAAAGTTGTCCTAAGGTTTCTAATACCTTTTCACTTTTTAACTTAACACCTGATAGAAATGGCTTAATGTTACAATAAAAATTTTTAAATTACATTTATTGAGGTAACAGTGGTTAATAACATTGTATAAATCTTAGGTGTACAACATTATAAACTCTGTCGTGTACTCTATTGCATGCTCATCATCAAAAGTCTAGTTCTTTCCTTAGCATACATTTGACCCCATTTACCCAATTCACTCTTTTCCCCACCCTCTTCCCATTCCGTTGTCTGTACCGATGAATTTGTTTTTGTTTAATTAGTTTGTTTGTTACTTTTTTGTTTTCTATTCCATATGTGAGTGAAATCATACAGTTTTTGTCATTTTAAAAACTTAGAACAAGTGGTAGTTTCTATTTTTTCTCCTGTAGTCCACAACTTCGTCTTCCTTGTACTTTGTCATGATCATCCTTCCCTTCCTCCCCCCGCCCCGCCTCCTTTTTTCCCTTCGTTTATTTTGGTGAGGAGTCAACTATTTTCTGTTGCTCCAAACCAATGTCTGCCTACATTGACTGCCCGAGATGCTGTTCTTAATATTTAGCAGTTTTGCAGGAGATACACAGATATATCCTCCACACTTCTCTCTCATTTATCCTGAGACAATATAATGCTCCACACTGGAAAGTTGACAAGTTATTAAGACTCACCATGATATTCTGGACGGAGACAACAGAACATGGATAAGCCACTTTAGATACAACTTTAATGATAACTGAGTCCACATCTTCAGGAAATTTGTATAGAAAATACTGAGAATAAGAAAAAGATTTGTTAACCTTAAGAAATGTTTACAGTCATGAACTCAAACTACTTTCACATGAGTACGATCATTTTCTCTATTATTAAGCATAAAGTTTAGATGCACATCTCAGTAAACCTCTATGAATTCAGTCAGCCATTCATCTCACAAGTATTGAGCAACTTCTCTCTTCGGGACTCTGTGCCAGAGATTAGGACTATTTCAGTGAGTAAAAAAAGTAGGCATTTCATACAATATTGCCGGTCAGGGCACATGCCTGGGTTGTGGCTCGATCCCCAGTAGGAGGTGTGCAGGAGGCAGCCGATCAATGTTGCTATCTCTCTATCCCTCTCCCTTCCTCTCAAAGCAATAAAACTTTTTTTTTTTAAAGAAGATCTCTCAACCTTTGAATTAGGGATATGTTAGATGTAATATGAGGCAATATTTACTTCCATATGTTCATTTTGAAATATGAGGCTCCACCTTGTAAAGCAGGTAAGCCTGTTCTTCAAGAATCTTAACCAGCTTTCTACAGGCAAGAATTAGCAATAAATCCACCCTTCTCCTATTTTTTTGCTAAATAATTCATTTTCTGTCTGGAATGAAGTGGGAGGACATTTAGATTCAAAGACAAAACTTTACATCCAGCTACTGAAATATATGTTCTCAATTTGGAGCAGGCTAAGATATCTCTAAAAGTATTTAGATTCTGACATATCATCAGAATCAGGAAACATAATAGGAAGAGGTAATACTGTTTACCTAATTAGATTATAAATCCCCTGAAAAAAATTATTAACTCTAACTTTTAAAGATGTTACTAATAATGAAGAAAGTGGACTTCTGCCCAATAATTATAAATATGGTAACTGGTTGGGAAACTTGACATAAAATACGTGCTTAAGGTTTTGAGGGGGCCAACCAAAACAAGCCCATATTTTAGGACTCTAATAAATCTATCACTTTAAAGGCAAGGCAAAATATGTCAAAACTTAATTTTGCATAGCAACATCCTCTTTACTAACCTTATTCTGAAAACCAGAGCAATAAGAATAGAATGTTTTTCAATAATCCAAGGTCTTCTCAAGATTAAGGACTGTATTAACACTGGCTATCATCAACAAATCAACAAACAACAAGTGTTGGAGCGGATGTGGAGAAAAAGGAACCCTTCTGCACTGCTGGTGGGAATGCAGACTGGTGCAGCCACTGTGGAGAACAGTATGGAGTTTCCTCAAAAAACTAAAAATGGAACTCCCATTTGACCCAGTGATCCTACTTCTAGGAATATATCCCAAGAAGCCAGAAACACCAATCAGAAAGGACATATGCACCCCTATGTTCATAGCAGCACAATTCACCATAGCTAAGATTTGGAAACAGCGTAAGTGCCCATCAGCAGATGAGTGGATTAAAAAACTGTGGTATACATAAATACAGATGTAACAGGACAATAAAAGGAGAACCTGGCTATGCTGATCATCTGAAAAAAATAAAAAACAAAGTAAAAAACTGTGGTACATCTACACAATGGTATACTACGCTGCGGTAAAAAAGAAGGAATTCTTGCCATTTGCAACAGCATGGATGGACCTGGAGAGCATTATGCTAAGTGAAATAAGCCAGTCAGAGAAAGATAAATACCACATGATCTCACTCATTTGTGGAATATAGAGAACAACATAGACTGATCAACAGGGACAGACCCAAAGACAGAGAAAAATCGATCAGACTATCAATCCCCAGAGGGAAAGTAGGGGAGGGTGGGGGTAAGGGGAAGAGATCAACCAAGGACTTGTATGCATGCATATAAGCCAAACCAATGGACACTGACAACAGGGGGATGAGAGCATGAGTGCGGGGGTGGGGGTGGGGTGGAGGTTGGGGGTTAATGGGGGATGAGGACACATTTGTAATACCTTAACCAATAAAGAAATTAAAAAAAAAAGAATAGAGGCAGATAGTGATGATGAAGGTTGTCTGAGAATGTGCAATAGTTTGGGTGAGTTTATAGGAATGGAAAATCTTTTCTACAGTGGAAGAGGATATAAAATTCAGGCCAAAATGGGAACAATTAATAACAAGTAAGTCTTTTATAGATCTCGTAGAGTTTCTATTTTGTTTTATCAGTTTGTTCTAAGTACATTTTATTCTAGTTTGGGGTTTATAGACAAACTACTTAGGCTTTAGTATTTACACACCCTTTTAAACACCATTTTAAAAGAAAACAAAGCCGTAATATATAATCATCACTGATTTTCAGTCCACAAACTGAAAGTGCATTACAGCATTCACTGTATCATATTTACTATAACTCTGAACAGGACTATTAGACTATATTCATTCTGCAAGGTTTTTCCTCCCTTTCTAGCTATCTCCCATAGCACCTATTAACTAGTGCTTTCAAATATTTCATGAATTAACTAGCCAATAAATGTTAAGGGCAGTGGTTTGCGAGCCTGTAGTCCTCTTCTATCACTGGGTGGCAGTAGGCAGGCACTGTGGCAGCTGAGAAATTTATCAAGAAATGTGTGGGAGTCAGCTCATACGGATTTGTGGAGCTGATTGTACACATCTCTCCCCAACTCTGTGTTCAATGACATCACCTTGGCATCTTGAAGTTGACCATGATGAAGGTATTTATGCCACAGAAATGGGCAAATTCTACAAATCAGGGTTTTTTTCCTCCCTCTAAAATTAGTTGCTAAATATTTATCATCACACAGTGGTTGTAACAGATTTACAGTAGAGTCCATTTACTGTGTTAATCCCAGTTTTAGTATATACAAGACAAAAATTAAGTAGTCATTCATGACTAAAACTGTATTACAGCCTGCAGAAGATTTACAATAAATATCAGCACATTCAATAAATCTGTTTTAAACTATTGCCTAAACTTTACTTCTTCAGAATCCATGAAAGAAAAAAAAAGAAATGTAGCCAGAAGTGTCACCAGAAAAGCAGTTTAAATAATGAAAATTTTCATGTATTTATTCTATATATGCTTATAGTTTAATGGAGAGCACAACACAAATATCTAATTCTTATTATAATTTTTTCAGCATCCCTGTACTCTCTTTACGTAGGAGAAACTAATTTATTCCATCCACAACACTGTAGAAATTAAAATCTGTTTTATTTTATTGTATCTCCAGGTGAATTAAGTATTTGTGTATCCATTTAGTGTTGGCCTTCTACTTCTCTGCCCCTCACCCCCATCCTGATTATAAAAGGTCCATGAGGGCAGAAGTTGCATCTTTCCCTTCTTCATCCTGTTCTTCCCACCACCAAGTACAGTCTAACACTGCTTGGTACATAGTAGGCACATAGTAGACCTGCTAAATGAAAATTGAGCCAAGGAATATCTACAAATATCATGCCTCCCATTTCACATCAATTCAGGTGATAAGATTAAATGTTGTGTCCAAAGTTCTAGTGACATGAGTAACATTCCAAAAATACAAATACATCTTAAGCTGTGAAATATGAAGGAGAATACCACTTGCTGACTCCACCTATTACCATAGTAACACTATGGGTAACACTAATAGTAGAATCATAACCTTGACACCCTTCACTTACCTGAGGTTGAGAGGGGCTGGCAGTGAAGTGAAAGGCAACATTTGTCCTGAGAAATGTAAGTGGGAGAAGGGAAAATGAGAGGAAAACATAATAAATTAGCAAGCAAAAGTTATTTATTTAAAAGAAAGCCATCTTAAACCAGATGCAAGGAAAGCCTTATCCTTTGTGAAGGGAAGTCTGTTCTCCTCAAACTTACAAAGTAAACTGCATGGAAATTTGCTAACTTCAACTCTCAGGAAAGACCAAATTGGGGAGGGAGTCAACTTTATGTCTTTAAATACCCATGAAGTCATACCTATACAAGTACGTTCTTTGTTTACTTTTGCCTTTGGATTCTCTTAAGATTTTATAATCAAGCACAGGGTTTAGGTGTTAGAAGTGGGCTGAAAGAGGAAAAGAAGATGGGAGGTTCTTTTCAACAATGGAGATAACACCTCAAAATAATTTTGATGTAACCATGGCAAAAGATCATTTTTGTAAAAAATGTGGTGAATAGATAATCGCCATTGGACAGTCCCTAGGAATAGGAGTATACTCTTCCTGCCCACAAGTATTTCCCCAATTGTCTGCCACACCAGCTGAAATTCTCCTCCAAGATTTTGTCCTCTTTGGGTTAGCACTGCCTTCAGGATCTCTTTTACTATCTCTATATATAAAAGCCTAAACAACCATCCGACCGTTTGACTGCCTGACCGGTAGCTATGATGCTCACTGACCACCAGGGAACAGATGCTCAACGCAGGAGCTGCCAAGCTGTGGTGATTTGGCAACTGCGGTTCTCAGGTGGTGCACCCAGAACCAGAGAGAAGGAAGCTTGATTCTGGGGTGCGTCACCTGAGAACCGTCCTCTTACAATCCAGACTCCTTGGGGGATTTTGGAGACCTGGTTTTGGCCCGATCCCTGCAGGCCAGGCTGAGGGACCCCACCAGTGCACGAATCCGTGCACTGGGCCTCTAATCTATACTAATAAAAGAGAAACATGGTAATTAGTGTACGACCGCTACCCTTCCCATTGGCTAATCAGCATATCCTTATGCAAATTAACTGTCAGCCAAGATGGCGGCCGGCAGCCATGCACTGAAGCGAGCAGGGAGGCTTGCTTGCTTCAGTGACTGCGGACTCCAATGTTCCCCGCCTAACTTGCCGGCCTCTCAGCTGCAACTCTAAGCAACTATGTACTATGTTGCAAATAAGAAGCTAAACAAAACCCCAGAAACCAGCCGGACTGAAAGCCAGCCGGACCGCAACATTGTATCGATGTTTTCAGCAGCGAGGCCTCAGAGCTAAAGCTGGCCCAGAATAAAAAAAAAAAAAAAAAGAAAACAAGGAGCGGTTGGGAGCTTCAGTCACTCGCCAGCCGGAAAACAGCCCTCAGCCCCTCACCCAGACTGGCCAGGCACCCCAGTGGGGACCCCCACCCTGATCCAGGACACCCTTCAGGGCAAACCAGTCGGCCCCTACCCATGCACCAGGCCTCTATCCTATATAGTAAAAGGGTAATATGCCTCCCAGCACCGGGATCAGCAGAGACAGGGGGCAGCGCCCAAAACCCCCTGATTGCCCTGAGGCTCTCCCAAACCCCCTGATCAGCCCTGCTCTGTGCCTGATAGGGGGGAGCTGACAGGGGAAGGCGCCCTGCGGCTCTGTGTGTGACAGGGTGCGGTGCCCCAACCTCCCGCCTCCACGGGCCCTGCTCTGTGTGTGACAGGGTAGAACCATAACCTCTCCATCGGCCCTGCTCTGTGGGTAATAGAGGGTGGCGCCCCAACCCCCCCTCCACGGGTCTTGCTCTGTGTGTGACAGGGTAGAGCCATAACCTCCCCATTGGCCCTGCCCTGAGTGCGACAGGGTGCAGCGCCCCAACCCCCTGATCCGCCCTGCTCTGTGTGTGACAGGGGGCGGTGCCCCTACTCCCCTATCGGCACTACTCTGTGAGTGACAGGGGGGAGCTCCCCAACCCCCTGATCCACCCTGCTCTGTGTGTGACAGGGTATGGAGCCCCAACCTCCCTGATGGGCCCTGCTCTGTGTGTGACAGGGTACAGAGCCCCAACCCCCTGATCGGCCCTGCTCTGTGTGTGACAGGGTACAGAGCCCCAACCCCCTGATCGGCCCTGCTCTGTGAGTGACAGGGGGCAGTGCCCCAACCCCCTGATTGGCCCTGCTCTGTGAGTGACAGGGGGCAGCGCCCCAACCCCCTAATCGGCCCTGCTCTGTGAGTGACAGGGGGCAGTGCCCCAACCCCCTGATTGGCCCTGCTCTGTGAGTGACAGGGGGCAGCGCCCCAACTCCCCAATCGGCCCTGCTCTGAGCCTGACCAGGGGCTGCACCTAGGGATTGGACGTGCCCTCTGCCACCGGGAGCAGGCCTAAGTCGGCAGGTCGTTATCTCCCAAGGGGTCCCAGACTGCGAGAGGGCACAGGCCGGGCTGGGGGACCCCCCTCCCCACCCCCCTGAGTGCACAAATTTTTGTGCACCGGGCCTCTAGTTGATTATAAAAGCTTGAGTTATCCCAAAGGCAAAATTGTCTATGACAGTAAATAGCAAATAGCACCAAAATAATATAATGGAGTTATTTTCTCTCCAGGTGATAATTTACTGTGAATTATTGGATTAGGTTCTTTCATTCTTCTGTGAAAGACAGCAATGGTCCAATGCAGAGGAAAGGAGAGGCTGAGGAGAGTGCAGATAGCACACATTTGTGGCACAGAGTGCTGTCTGGAATGAACGTATGTGAAACAGTCCAAGAGGCTGGAAAACACTAAGACAAGTTCGATCCTCGATACAGTTTTGCAGGGGGCTGCTTTAGCCTTTTATTCGTGGTGGGTTTTGGCTCATCTTTAGCCATGAAGATCACTCATACAAACTCACACCACACTCTCAGCATCTGCACCTGGGGAATGGCATGCCCCCAACCCTCCAATGTGGCTTGCATTTCTGGGAATCTGAACCTGAACTTCTGGGAATTTTAACCTGAACTTCTTCTGAGGTCCCTCCCCAGATTTATAGCCTGGTGCTCTAAATAGTCTTTCTGTCCACTCCTAATTTTCCTTTTATAAAAATTAAATAGTTTTAAACAATTGTGTTAAAGATTCCTTTAGAAAGGGCATGCCAAAACATTTAAGAAATTTATAATTGGAAATGTTTAAAAGTCATAAAATTTGAGCACTATTTCTAAAGGTAATGACCAACAATTTAGGCTGTTGACAGACTGGGCTCAGAATTTAGCAATGGATGAAATTTTTACATATCCACACTCAACAGAAATAACCTTCAGTGTTGAGGATTGATTCTGCTGAAGTACAGTTTAGAGCTTGTGGCCTTAAGTCACCTAAAGAGCCACCAAGTCAGTGTCAAGTCCAGTTGTGTATGTGCTCCTGAGATGCCATGGCCGGCCGGAGTGAGGACCCACAGTGCTGTGTGTGCCAGGTAGCGCCCTCTTAGTGTGGGGAGTGCCATCTGCTGTTACCAGGGCAACAATTCTGTTCGTTGCCAGGTCAGGGGAACAAAAAGGACACTGATTTTCTTGGCTAGCAACACACATCATGAAATATCCAGAAGGAACCAGATTCCTTTGGCCAGAAATACATTTTTATATTCCTCCCTATCACTTGAATTCCAGTTGTAATGGAATGTATGAGTATTGATATGAATTTTCCGAGGCCTTATTTCTTGTTATTTATTTTTTCTTTACCAGTACAACACACACAAACATTTAACACATATTGTTTTCTTTAAGATCGTCACATTTAAGTGCTCCCTTTCTTACGGAGTCAACAGTGTGTGCAAAACAAACATTGTGTCTATTACACATGGAAAGTTCTGCTTCCTTCCCCATAGGCTCTGACAGAGGTGGGGGAGGTTTGTTTTTATCAAGGGTCATTACCCAACAGAACAAAGTCAGTTGCCGACTCAAGTGCAGCTTTAATTTTAGAAAGAGAAGTATAAAAACTTCGTCTTATTTGTTTTAAACCCAGGAAATAAATGATTACTCAATAAATGTAAGAAAAACTGAAAACTGACTTAGTTCCCTTGTCTTGGCTAGTTTGAGGAAGAGGGGGAAGAGAAAAGGGACAGATGGAATCAAGAGAGATGAGCATGCAGATAAGACAGAAGAAGAAGAGGGAGGCTCATGGGGCAGATAAGAGAAATACATACAGGGGAGCAATCAAACATAAGAAAAGGGAAAGGGGGATGGGAAGAAAGGGTAAGTGAGAGAGAAGTAAGGACAAAAGCTAAGTGGTTTTTGAGGTGAGTACCAGAAAGGACTGTGAGATTCAGGGCATATTATCTACTTTATGATAGCAAGCCCCTATCACAGATCAGAGAAGGCGTTCTAAACCCCTGCTTTGTTGTTGAAGAAAATTATACTCTATTATTCACGTGTACTATGGACTTGAGAATATCACTTTCTCTTATCTGCTTACTGCCATCTGTCAGGTACTCCCTTTGCTTACCCAACCGTCCCCTACCGATGCTCCAGTCCACTGTAACCCTCCACCCCATCGCTCTAGTGTAAGTATAGACTTTGCACATATGCGCTAAATCCTATACTTAGCATACAAAATCCACTTTTATTTGCCTTTCTACCCTTTGGTTTATAAATATATTCTAGTCTCAACCATTTTCAAAATAAATAACAAACAAAAACAACCCAACAATTTTCCTTCCTTTTCCTTGTATTTCCCTTCTTTGATGTTATTCTATATCAGGGGTCCTCAAACTACGGCCCGCGGGCCACATGCGGCCCGCCGAAAACATTTATGCGGCCCGCCGGGTGTTTTTGCCGCCGCTGCCTGTCCTGCTTAGCAGCCGACTCGTCCCAGGCCCGCAGTGCGCATGTGTGGAATGTCTGAGGGACAGTGAACTGGCCCCCTGTTTAAAAAGTTTGAGGACCTCTGTTCTATATCCTCCCTCTCCTTCACAAACCAGCTTCTTAAGAGTGTTTTGCTTGCATCTTTCATTCATTCTATCCTCTTCCCACTGCTATCAGGATCCTTTTCTGCCTTAAAACTATTTTCTAACTATGTACATTCCTAACCTGGGAGGAGAAAACTGGAATAGCAATAAGGATAGAAGAAAATTATTTAAGGTCTTTCTTAAAACAAAAACAAAAATTCCTTCAGGAGAGTAATACAAAATACCCGGCCACCAGTGACACCTGCTTGGACTGCAGACAGGACAGGGCCCTCACCCGTCCCTGAGAACAGACACCTAGGAGGTGAACCACCCTTCCTCTCTACACCAGTCTCCTACTGCCTCCCTCTTGCACAGAGCACATAAGGCCCTGCTGCCCATCTGTGAGCAGGAGAGGTCAGAAGGTGCGAAGACAATGTGCCCAGTAGAAAATGTCCTTCTGGAGTGCTGATCTGTAAGGAAGGAAGCTGGGTTGAGCATGCACAGGCACAGGAAGAGCAGACAAGTGAACAGAGAACGGCCCCAGGGAGTCCTCCTTACTGTAGCTGGAAGTGCTGGATCCTGGTAACCAGCAGTTTGTACTGGGCGCCTAGGGGTGCCATGGATGCTATATCTACAAATATCAGATGCTCCAGCGGTCCTGTTTCATTGGTTGCTTCTGATGGACATAAGGTGCGGCTCACTTCCTGATAGTTGTAGGTCCTCTGGTATCTGTAGCAGCCAAAGGAGGGAAAGATCAGCCAGAATGAGAAAGAGGGAGAGAGAGAGAGAGAGGGAGAGAGAGAGAGAGAGAGAGAGAGAGAGAGAGAGAGAGAGAGACTCAATGAACAAGCTGGGAAAGAAGTTTATTGCGATTCACTTCTCTCTAAATTTGTTTTCAAGCCCTTATATTTTAAATGTCAGACTGGACCCATTGATAGTGATTTCAGAAGCAGTGTTTTTGGTGTAGGACTCTGTGACATAGTAACAGGGCTGTGAAGTCTGTTTAGTGCTGACCTGTTCACTTAGGCAGTGACTACATCACACTAACCCATCCTCCTAATTCAAAGAGGAAAAATACCACATTGCAAAAGAGAAACTGTCCTGATAAAACAATCAGGCGACTCCATTTTTTTTTTTATTCTTCAAGCTTTTGCTACATGGAACATAAAGAAAGTCCCAGAGTCCAAATCAGTATTTTAATTCTCAAATTCCTCCGCCTTCAAAATCATTATAACTCATACTCTATGTCCATGTCTGAATGCCTTCTGGGTTTTCACTTATAGTCCTATAGTGCCTTGTGTAGTTTCCCTGTAAAAATATAAATTCCATGAGGGTAGACACTTTGTTGGGATCTTTTCCCCACTGTTGTACTCCAGCACCTATCACCTACTCATGCTCAATACATATTATGGAATGAAGATTGCAGACTCGGTGGGCATTTTGAAGAATGGAAGAAGTGTCACTCATTTAGGTTGACTTCTGGGCCTGTCCCTGTCCTCAATAGATGACCCGCTAACCAACCAAGAGCTACAGAACATTTATTTGAATCTGAATAGAATTACAATTGAAAAAGTTCTTTGGGGTGCTACAAATCTGGGCAGAGTTCTCATGTGAACTTCAAAGGGGATGGCTATTGAGCAGAGCTGAACACGTGGGGTATGTACCATGACTAGCATTTGCACTGAGCATGCATCATATGTCAACATTCCAAATGTCAGATTTCTCATTTCACTAGGGCTGTGGTCAGCAAACTGCGGCTCGCGCGCCACATGCGGCTCTTTGGCCCCTTGAGTGTGGCTCTTCCTAAGCCTTAGGAGTACCCTAATTAAGTTAATAACAATGTACCTACTTATATAGTTTAAGTTTAAAAAATTTGGCTCTCAAAAGAAATTTCAATCGTTGTACTGTTGATATTTGGCTCTGTTTACTAATGAGTTTGCCAACCACTGCAAAGACCAATTAAGATCTGGGCTATTGAAAGGAAGTGATGTCGTGAAGTTGTCTGGGAAAAGACCCACTTACAGTCCTTGGAAGAGCAGCGGAACCTGCCAGGACAGCACCTCTTTCTGCTGACGCACCACGACCAGGACCGGGTAGTCAAGGTTCTCGGAAGAGCTGTTCACATGCACCCGCATGGCGCTGACCTGTGAGCAGGGCAGAGAGAGGTGATGCACATCCCACACACACAGACACACACAGGCACGCATCATCGCTGACCCCTGAAGCCCTGAAAAACTTTAATGTTTCACATTTACTTCTGACCATAGATAGTCCAAACGCCTCAGCTGTCTTTCCCTCACTCACATTGTAACTACAGGGGTCTCAACCTTGATTGCAGTTCTTTTTTTTTTTATTGCAGTTCTTATGTGAATTTCTTTTTTAAAGAACTAATGCCTGGGTCCAACCCCTCAAAATTCTGATTTAAGTGGTCTTGGGTGAAGCCAAATTGTGGAGCCTTCCCATGGCAGGCTGAGGAGTTAGAACTGGGTTGTCAACACAAGATTTTGAGTATAAGCCCAGAACAGAAAAATATGTCCTTTACTTTTTATTTGAATATAAATGCTAAAGACAAATATA